ATCTGTAGTTCCAGGTCACTGGAATGGAAACAGACCTTTGTTAATACATATTGCTAGAGAAAGACAATTTTCAATGGGCAATTTCAAAACACGTTTAAAACCTGTTTGATAAAGTCATCATGAGTGCTCATTACCTAGGGCTTTGTGATTGACTCAATATTTTACCCCACTATAAACTCATCTAAAACAAGATAGGTCTTGTCCCCAAGGCCACACACCATTACCTATCTTTGGCAGCTGGATTGGTTATGAGCATACCAGCTTCTGTGGACAACAGTTTATCCTGGAGAGAGGAGAATACCCTCGATGGGATGCCTGGAGTGGGAGCAATGCTTACCATATTGAGCGTCTCATGTCCTTCCGCCCCATCTGTTCTGCCGTGAGTTTGAAATTTCAACATTTTTTTTTGGGGGGGGGGCACGTGAGTGGGATAAAGAATGATGAAGTCAGACTGATAATTTGTGTTGCTTTTGTCAATGAGTAGAATCTAACAAGGAGAATGAATGAATAACACTATTCCCTTCCTTTAATCTGTGATTTGATTTTCTCCCTTATGCTAAAAAAGTAACTTCTCATAAGAAGAAGGAAGCACATAATCAAGACCCAAAGTTCTAAAGGACAACTAGTGAGAAACCACTTACCATGTAGTACAAAGCAAATATATGGCCAGTTAAGCTGCAGTGGGTTAAGATTTCATTGAAGAAACGGGCAGGTATTCTAGTACTGCTTTATCTGCATTAAGTTTTTAACACCAGACATTATTTAACAATGCATTAGGCTGCACTCTAAATATTTCTTGCACTACTTGGCCACATTTAAAATGAGTAATTTGTTTCCTTAAACACAGGCAGCAAATCATCCTTTTTCAGTTCCTTAACAATAAATATCCAATTGTCCATTAAGATCATTTAGGATGTAACTGTCCAAACTTGTTTTTTTTTTTTTTTTTTTTTTTTTTTTCTCATTTTGAAAAAACTTTGGTGTTGTCATTTTCTCATTGTTCACAAAAGTTTTTGAAATGACTTAAATGAGCCAAGTTCTCTTTCAGTTTTAATCTTTACAATGACTGATTTAGTGCGGTGAGGAAGATTAAGGGAGGCAAAAAGTAGAATCTGAAAAATTTAAAGGCAAATCACAACAGTTGTCCATAAACAAATTACATTTCAGCTCAGGAATAGGGTGTACAGGTACTGACTGCTTCAACTACAGATCTTGTTCCCTCCTCCATTATGACCCCAATTGAAAATGGATGCTTCCACCAGGTTGTATTTAGTCTTTCAGAGAGCTGGCATGGTGGACCAGGAAACGAAGGCAATCTTGAATCTGAGGCTAGTCTAGGATACACAGAAACCTTTGAATCAGGTTTTTGAAGTTGAAACAGAAACAGACCAACCATTATATTTCTCCCTACGAGTTGAAAAACGGTCCTGAGAGTGAAACTTGTCTGAGCTAGAAGCTGACCAAATACTCTTCGGACTTTTCTCATGAGTTTAGACGTTAATAAACATCTCTAAACCTAAATATCATGTACTTTACTGGGGAGGTTACTAGAAACATTGATGCAGACACACATGCATTGTATGTAAGTTTAATTTATGAGACCTTGTGCTGGGAATAAAAACGTACACCATATGCACCCAGCAAAGTTTTTTAATACATCCCTGTTTAGTCAATGATCAAGTATTCTATAGGCAAAAAAAAAAAAAAAAAAAAAAAACCTATCCTACTAAGGTTTTGACTTCTGGATTATAGAACCATAAAGAGTCCAAGATTACCATCTTTGAGAAAGAGAACTTTATTGGACGACAGTGGGAGATCTGTGATGACTACCCTTCTTTGCAAGCCATGGGTTGGTTCAACAATGAAGTTGGTTCCATGAAGATACAATGTGGGGCGTAAGTGCAAAAACAACTGGAGCACATTTTAAAGCAATTCTTACATTTGTAGGACACCACGGACCATGGCTTACTAGATTCCATACACTGGTGCTATCTGGTATTCTTTGTTTCAGCTACTACTTTATTTTATTTCACTAAGTATCTCTGTGAAAGCTTTTACTGATTATCAACACTTTTCATGATTAAGGCTAATCTTTTTTATCCACACTATGCTGGGTAAAAGGTAATGACCCGTTTTCTAAATACCCAAGTACCACTGTAGTGGAGAAAAAGGACTCAGGTTTAATACATAATATGCCTTGAATTTTCTAGATGGGTTTGCTACCAGTATCCTGGATATCGTGGTTATCAGTATATCTTGGAATGTGACCATCATGGAGGAGACTACAAACACTGGAGAGAGTGGGGATCTCATGCCCAGACTTCCCAGATACAATCAATTCGCCGTATCCAACAATAGTGGATTAAAAGTTCCAAATTTCCTCAAGCATGAAACCTTGCTAAACACTCTAGAATTTTATGTTCTGCCCAGATACTGCTTACAAATGTTAGCTGCTAAAATACATAATAAATGTCATTAAAAAAAAAAAAAAGGCCTCAGAGACTAAATCACCTACCATACAGAAACTCCTCTTTTATGGCTGACAGTTTAAAGTTAGTCTTGATAAAATCACAAATCCCCAGGTCAGACAGCAGTGTCACACACCTTTAGGCCTAGCACTCTGAAGACAAAGTCAAAAGTTCCATCTATTCCATCTGTAGGGATAATTCTAGGACAGCCAGAGCTACAGAAAAATCGTGGGAAACAACCCAAAATTACCTTGCATGTCAGTTATTTGCAAGGCAAAGGACAAATCCCCCACATCAAAGAATCATCCCAATATTGTCAACATTTAACTGATTATGCATATTTTCTCCCAATCTCCACTATTATAACATTTAGCGGTTTTCAACTTCTGTATTGTTTTGGAACCTGTCTTGAAACTAACTCTATTGACCAGGAGGTTGACCCAACAGCCACCTCTGCTGGGATCAAAGACATGCACCACCAATGCCTGGCTTCAAATACAGTTTTATAAAGTTATAAGAACTTCACAGATGGCTCATTGCCTAAGAGTACTTTACTAATTTTGCAGAGGACCCTTAGTTCCCAGCACCCACTTGAGTTAGTGCAAGCCACTTAAAACCAGTGCTTTAAAGTTGTTAAGACTCTAATGAAGGCAAGATGATAGCTCAAAGATTATTAAAGAAAAACAAAACAGGCAAAGGTCATGCCTTAAATCCCAGCTCTTAGGAGGTGGAGACAGGATCCATGAGTTTGAGGCCAGCCTGGTCTAGAGTTCCATAACAGGCTCCAATGCTACAGAGAAACACTGTCTTGAAAAACTAAAAAGAATAAGGAAAAAAAAAAAAAAAAAAAAAAAAAAAAAAAAGACATAATCACAGTATCTTTAAGACTGAAGTTCTTTGTACAAGTGTGACTTTTGGGGAAAAAAAGTCAATGTCACAATCCTATGTTTTCAGTAAAGAATTAAAAAATTAAAGTGCACACAAAAAAAAAAACCACGAACACCTCAAAAACTTGAAATTTTTTTATTCAACAACGTACACTTATTGTCTTATTTGATCTACAAATCTCTCAAGTTTTTCTGATAAAATAAGTAAATCTGAGTATGGTTGTATAGGGTAATTTTGTATTTATTAAAACACTGAACATTAAGTAAGACATTGATAGGAAGGTCATCATGTAACTGATACTTCCTTGGAATCCATAACATCAGCAACGGCTTTAGTAAATAAGCAATTAGTTATTTAGAAAATGGTAAATTTCTGGTCATTGTTCTCCTATCTAGAAAATACCTACTTATTGTTTTAAACTGGGCAAAACAAGTACTGAAAAAATTTTCAGAGGCAGAAGGGCCAACATCTAACAGAATTGTAATTCACTAATTATTCTTCCTGAAACTAAAAGGCAACTCAGCTCGTAAGTAAACGTCTGTTCACACAATACAGAGATTACTTCTCCAATAATTTGCTATGTTGTTGCTATGCATGCCAGTCTGGCTTTGAACTCACAATCCTCCTGCTTCAGCCTTCTGGTTGCCAGGATTATAGGTGTGCACCATAAAAATCTAGCTACCAGTATGTTCTAATTCTGGACATAAACCAACTACTGACAGATGCTAAGAGTACTCAAGCCATCCATGCTGTTGCTACTATCTGTGTTTATAGGGCTATGCATTATAGACCACATCTCAAATATTTATTATTTAGTTATTAACTTCTACTATAAATAGAATTTTTGCTGTCTTTTCAAAGTCAACAACACACACCAAAATGAAAGAGAAGTGAATCCTCTTAGACAGAGACGAAGTTATAATAGGAAATATCTCTAAGAGGCCGGGAAAAACACCATTGCTAATATCTTCTACCCAATTTTCCTACAAATGTCCTAAGGAAATTATAGGTTATCTGTTAAAAGATGAATGAAAAAATTTGGCCAGCACATCTATCTATACAACCTTATTAAGTGCACACTTCATGTTAAGTAAAGCTATGTAGTACATGCAACTGGAGCGAATGAACCTAACTGGCCCAACTTCTGAACTTGTTCTGGTCAGCTTCAGTTTTAAAAACACAACTTGTGTTCTGACCTTTAAACAACTGAATGATTTTGGTATCAAAACATCCAGTTGATCAAATTCATGTTAGAGCAATGAAGCAAAAACACAAACCCAAACAGGCTATCCTACCTTTAAACCAGCTTTAAGATATAACATTGTCAGAGCTTCATATGGCAAAGGTCTTTCTTTCATTTCAGCTTGAATGACTTTCCATTTTTTTCATATTCAAAATTTCACTGAGAAAAGCATTGGATCCAGTGGTTTATAAAGCTGATACAACTGCCCTGTTTCAAGAAAAGCCCTTTAATAGATACAAGTCAAGCTCTTGTTTCAACTGAACTTTATTCAAAAGGTGCCAGTTTTCTTTCCTTTTCCTTCCACTTCCACTGATGAGCTAGCCCAGAATTTTAACCATATTTCCAAGGGTGGTAAAGCTAAAAACAGAAAATGACAGATTACTTTTGTAATGACACACAAATTAAACTTTCAAAACATGTGCATAGCTTTATTCATCTACTTAGATCTAACCTTTTCATGGAGCTTCAGCAAAACTGAGTGTGCAAAATGCATTTCTAAAACGTAATGCAAGCAAAGCTTTTCACATTTACACTGGCAGGAAATACAGAAACTAACAAGTCACATTAGGGAGAGTTCAGATCTGTTTTGTATTTTTGTTTTTTAATGACAAGAATTGCACAGTTCATTGAGACAATTGTTGCAGACATGAATATTTAAAATTTTCTAATCAAGGTGCTTTAACAATAAAAAATTTTGTTGTTGGAAAGAGCCAATAATTTGGAGCAAAGCTCACAAAGAATCCCCAGTAAATGTGGACTCCCACCATCTTCCTGTATTTTGCAAATAATGTGTTTAATAACACCTTTCATAACACTAAAGGAGATAGCAAGCTGAAACTTTTCAAAGCGCACAAAGCAAGGGTGTCATCACATTACTTGAAGGTGTTAGGGTAGGTAGTGAAGAATCCTTTTTACCATTTCCCACTACAGACCAGCCATTTGAAGACTTTAAAAAAAGGGGGGAGGGGGGTTAGCGAAAAAGTGACCCCCCCCAGTTTATAAAGAGTTCCAGTTTGACAAGAGCACCAGTTGGACAATAGAATGAGCATTTCAACTGCATAAAAATCAGTGAGGTGGTAAGGACCATCAACATCTCAGGCATTACTACATGGCCTTTCCAAAAGTCAATATACATGCAAGGCACACTGATATAAAAATAGATCTCTGGCCAACAAATATAGTAAGTAAGCAAATTAAAAGTTTGGCTCTGCAATATTGGCAACATCAAAATATAATCAGAAAGCTTTGGACCACACATCTTTCTCATATTCCTCCACCTCATTTGGTGTCCCTCACCTACATACTTTTTGGGTTTTGTCTCCTTCATGTTTGAGTATGTGCTTAAGAAAAATTTTCCTTTGTCAAGTAGCATTCTTATTATACTTTGTTTACCTTTGTTAATTAAAATATACATAAGAGAAGCAGAATAGTTGGGAGCTTTGTTAAACTAAATATGATTGGTTCATGGCAGCATTAATTTTCTGATACAAAATTTTAAAAAACAGCCAGCTTACTGACCAAAAAACAAACAAACAAACAAACAAACACAAAAACCCAACCAAACAAACAAAAAAATTTCCTCTAGTCCTTCCCAATTCTTTCTGAAGCAGAGAGGGAATAATAGGAACAAAGCTAAGATTTAAACTATTTTCAGTAGTAGAAGACTCTTTAAGGCCAAAAGATTAGTATTAACCAAAGTTTATTTCCTAAGTTTCTGTCCTCTTCATAGGTGAACACAAACTACAGACGACTGACTCACTCCTGAAGAGAATTATAAACTCTGTTCACTTTTGTTAGTGGCTGTGCTACAAAGAAAAGGTATTAAAGCAACCTATAGTATATAGTAATGTTAAAAAGTGCATCACATTCTTGATTTTCAGTTTTCCATAGCAGCAGCAGCAGCAGCAGGCGTAATCTAAGACAAAACAGTTGTTTTCATTCTAAAGATGCAATAATACCTAATGAAATGTATTCATGACTGTGAAAATTTATCTACAAAAGATGAATGCAAAGACTAAATAGACAAATAGAACTTAAGGTATTTGTTCATATTTACATATTAAAACCACTTTGTTAACACCAATCTTCACAATTACTAAAAGAAATGTGCATTAAGAATAAAATGTCACTAAAGCAGTATCCATTTCGGAGCCTTTGTTTAGCACCTGAGGAAAAAGGGATATATATGGAAAGCTATTGTATAATGTTGATCTAAGTTGGTTTGGTCTGTCGATTACAAATGATATACAGCAAAAGCAAAAGTGAACTAGGGAGAAAACATAGCTTCTATAGTAAGTTTGTTAAAACAAAACAAGACACCACAATGTTTTAAAATGGCTTCAGAACTCTGGACAGAACGAAATTTTCTGAATAGGAAATGTCTGAACCAGCAATCCCACTACAGCTCAGTTATCTGTTTTCCGTTCCTTAATGGCTATTTGCTAGTGTTTGTGGGCATTTTATGACAGAAAACTGACTGACATACTATAATTGTTTTGAGGCTTTTCTTTCTTAAACTCAGTAAATCAGTGCTTGAGTGGAGTTGATGATTTATCATTCTTTAAAACAAACAAAGAACCAAAAAACCAAAAAAATACAAAACAAAACAACAACAACAACAAAAAAAAAAAAACAGAATGGGCTTCCTTCTTACTTCTAAGTGTTTTTAAATACTGATTTTTAGAACTCTTAATCTATGTACTTCTGACCATCTTTAAGCAGCTATTCCTGCTTCTATTCTCCCGTGCCTCCTTTCCAAATTACTGGGGGACTGGGAAAATAGGAAAATCCCACCTACCAAAATCCACCCTGGTATTCATCAGTAGGCTATTGTCCCTTTACATGTATTTCACCTACTACATACACTGTACTATGTTCTTCCGCTGGTTAACATTAAGACAAGTTGAACATGAAGTGACTTGAGAGACCCTCACATAAACCATTGTGGACAGGCTTTTTAGTTGAGCCAAGCCTTGAACTTCTTGCCTATGGCAATCTGGTAGAGTTCACATTACATGCTCTTTTTCTGATCTTAACGCTTACCATTAAAAAAAAAAAAAAAAGTTTTTGGTGAGGACTGTCAAGTGATGCAACAAACAAGTGTGAACTGCTGCTACTGTGTCCTATTTTATGAATAAACTACTATATCATTTGAGATTTAACCTATTTTCCGCTAAAAACTGTCATTTGAAACAAACAAACAAACAAAAAAAAGCACAGCATTTTGTTTCACTTATGAAATTTTTGCAGATTCTGAGTAACTATGAAAGTAGATGGAGGATGGTAAAGTTGCCACTGACAAGTCTCTAGATATTGGCTATCTCCTCCTAGAAAGTAGAGAAGGGCAGGCTACTATAGACACCATAAACACACTTTATTGATGTGAAGGTTCATTACTAAAGTTAGAGGAAACACTATGCAATTAGCTTCAGGTTGTTGAAGTGGGGGGTGAATAGGGAAAAAGATAAATACACCCTGTCTTTTGTGGGGAAAGGGAGATTACTCAAGACATTTTACACAAAGTGAGTGGTATGTGACGCAAAACCTACAATCAAGACAAACTGAAAGAAATCATCACCCATAATTATTTCTTAGCTATTAAAAAAAATAGGTCATGATTTCATCCTTAGTGCCATTTTTTTCTAGTACTACCCTTTAAGGATTTAAACCATCCAACTTTATTCCATATAATGAAAACAAATGGCACAAAATAAATACACGTTTCATTCTCTGAATACTAATATAATGTCTTACACATTCATTTACTAATTCTTAGTATCTTCATCTTTCCCTCACATACAAGCACCCCAACATACATACATACACACACACATCTTTTTCAGTCATTTAAATGGAGGGATGTTAAAAGTCCCCTCTAGACTGTATTTGGTTTATGCTACAGTACTAATACTCTGAGTTGAAGGAATATTCTTTATACCAACAACATATTGTTATTTAAATGTGCTAAATTAATTACAGCTGATGTTTCTTTAGAAGCTTACGCAAAAATAATCAGAAAACAGATGAACTCGTACGACTTTTTTTTTTTTAATAAGTGCTCTGTAAGGAATTGTGTGAGGACCTAAGGAGAAAGATTGAGACAAGTACCAAACAGCACAAAGGAGCTCTGTCCCAAAGTCCTGCTTGTACTGAGGCAATTAAGTCCATTAACCCAATGTCCAAAAAAATACTGACAGTCATTATGATGGATCATGAGGGATCCCAGAAAGGTGAGCCATTTCTAACTACTATATATACCTTATAACTATATCAATCAGGAAAATTTCAGTGGAGAAAACAAAGTGAAATGTTATATTGTTTCATTTAGAAGTAAGACTCTCAACCTTTGGAAAACAGTAAAGGGGTACATTCTCTTTAGCTTCTCTGAATAGAGGCCTGAAGGATATGGAAGAAGAATTAAGAAAGCGAAGGCTTTTAAAGGTACTAAAGTATTACTTCTAAGTTTAAAAGCCCAATTCAGGAAACTGGATTTTTCTTTCCATTTTGATTATGTTCAACCTTGTATGCCACTAACCAAGGAAGTTTTGTTTTTTTTTTGTGATTTGTGCAACAGAAGAACGTTAAAATTCTAGGCAAACAAAATGGACATTTAAAAGACTAGGGTGAAGGATTTGGCCCTAAGGCGATAAGTGGTTACACAAGGCAATTAAACACACAGCAGAACTTTAAAATCTATAAAACAAACTGGAGCCTCTTTTTTTCTTTAGTCAACCCTTTTTTTTTTATATTTTTGAAAATTTTTATTAAAAAAAAAAAAAGGAAGGAAGGAAACACAAAACACAGACTTTTTTCAGTTCAGTATGTGGCGTGTTGCATTTTTCCAGTTTGTTCAATGCTTTAAAGCTCAAGGATGCCTCACTCTGAATTGTACAAGGGCCTGAAGCATCCTAGCTTTTGGCAAGCAAGCAGGAGACTCAACAAAAAAAAAAAAAAAAAAAACAAAAAACAAAAAAAAAAAAGGAACAAAGCACTAAATGAAGGGCACATCTGTAAACATACATTTGAAAATTACAATATCAGTAAAAGTGATACAGTTTACAGGTGAAATGAAACTATCTGAAACTGGCCTATCACAAGTTTCTGAACCTGGACTGATACAATAAGTTATTATATATATTATGTATAAAAAGTTTTGTTTACATCAAGTGGAATTGGCAATCCATGCTTATACTTTTTTAAAAATCTAAGCAGGGCAGAAATCCAGACTAAAAAGTATTTTTCTCTGCAGTAAATCAAATAGCTTCTTTCATGAACTATTTGTTAAAAACCTGAAATAATTAACAAAACCAGAAAATCCATCCACACTACAATCGCTCAAAACTGGACATTTCTTAGAAAACAAATAAGAGTAAAATTACTTTCTCTCCCCAAATGTATCCAGGGGATCCAGTCTGCCTTTGTTAGAAGACTCTATAAATGCCCTGCTATATTAACTTGTATTTGACATATGGATACACTAATATTTCTCTGTATGTGTATGTGTGTGATGCATCAGGCCAGAGAACTTGTTATGCCACTAACATCACCCAGTCTTAAATTGGACCCTTTATACATACATACATACACACACACACTCACTCTCTCTCACTCACTCACTCACTCATACTTTAGCATGCAATACACAAGCTGCAACACAACAGGATGGTAATGTGATAAGACAGGGCTAATGCTCTTTTCTGCCCAAAACAAAATTTCCAGAATTTCACATTATTTTCCTTAAAAAACAAAAAAACATCTTGCTCTAATAATGAAATATATTAAGATATAATTAGAAGCTAGTAAGCTCAGAAGTAGATTTTGCATGAAAACACACCGTTTACAAGCAGTGTTTATTACCTCCTCACTGGCTAAAAGACATTTTTTTCATGAACTTTTTTTTTTTCCTTTTTAGACTTTGCTGAGAAACTGAAATTATAAAAAATTTACATAAAGATAACATAGTTTCTCTTAGATGTTTGATGAAAAACGAGTACACACTTAGTGTTAGTGACAGAGAGCAAGTCTGAGCACCTACAGCGAAAAGCAGAATATATTTTTGCTCCCGGTTACACAATTACAATGGATAATTATCAGCCAATTACTTGTTCTGCAACTTTCCTTTAAATGACACTATTGAATTTGTCAGCTGTTAAAAGTCAAACATTTAACCAAAGTTAACTATGTACCCACAAACTATTCCAGGATTGTAGAACTTCAATGCCCTCCCCCTATCCCCACCCCACAAAAAATAAAAGGAACTATTTCCCCAACATCCCACAGAGGCTGCACAACTCCTGGCAAGACATGCAAATTATCGGATTAAAAAAAAAAAAAAACAAAAAAACAAACAATAACAACAAAAAAATCCCTGCAAACTTCAAGGCATTTATCCAGCATTCTAGCAGGGCTCAAAATAAAACCAAAAGATCAAGGGCGGAATAGGGGGAAATGTTGCATCATTCTGGGCTCCCCGTGATTAGTGTATCACTTTAGTCACAGAACAAGATACAGATACCTAGTAAGTGGATTTGCCTTTCCAGTGGGTCATTTGTTGCCCAAGTCGATGACAGCAGGAACTTTAGAACCACGCTTGTTAAGTCTGTATTCATTAATCATTTGCATTCACACTTAAAAACAAAAACTAACAAAATAAAAGAAAAAAAGACTATTCGGTACCGGAGATTAAATAACCATGTGTAGTCTCTTGAAATAAATTTGATTCTTTAAGAAGTCTAATTACTTTCAGTTGCCTTTTTTTTAAATAACTATATATATATATATGTATATATATATATTTGTATATATTATCCTGTGATTCTACTTATGGTTCCTCTGCTGCGTTGAAGATCTAGGAGCATAAAAGCCTCGTGTCCCCCATGAACGGTGGCTCTAATGCTGCAGAAAGGTTACAAATAGGCAGTCTGGTCCTTCATTGATCTGGACTATCCATGGCTTCATTGTAAGTGATTATCCTTTTGGGATCTAGAAGCAAAATGAAGGGAAAAAAAGTGAATTAATTAAAATCAAAATAAAACCTTAGAATTAACCCAGAAACAAATCCCAAGTAATTAATCACCATTTAAACTGCTACACATCTGACTAAATTAAATTTTTTCTCTCTCTTTTTTAATTAAAATAAAACTTTAAAGGCAATTTCTTTTTGCTTTTATCCCAAGTGTGATCTAGTTTCTCAATTCAAAATGTTCCTGTTCAGCACTCCCAACTCACATTGTCAGGTTTGGTAGCAGGCATTTACTGCTGAACCATTATTTATAATTATTATTATTAGAATATTTTTTTGTTCTACACTATATCCAGGTTGTCCAAGAATCCATGATCCTTTTTCTTCAGCCTCCAAGTGCAACGTAAAAAGTTAATACGCTTGGGCTGCAGAGATGGCTCAGAGGTTAAGAGCCCTGGCTGCTCTTCCAGAGGTCCTGACTTCAATTCCCAGCTACCACATGGTGGCTCACAACCATCCATCCTGAGATCTGGTGCCCTCTTCTGACATGCAGGCAGGCATGCAGACAGAACACTGTATATGTAATAAAAATAAGTAAACAAAATTAAAAATATATAAAAAAAGTTAATATGCTGTATGTAAACATAATATGCTGTATGTAAACAGGAAAACTAGGAATTAGTACTTTCCTAGAATTCTAGATAGAGGTCCTGGGTTCTTCAGTTCCCTCTACAGATGCAAGCCTTTAGTTATTTAATAGAAAGAGTCCTGAAAATAATACTTAACAGTAACCAAACATAGGGATATAGTGGCAGATGCCTTTAACTCGAGTCCTGGGGAGGCACAGGCAGGCAGATCTCTATGAAGCCAGCCTGGTCTATGCAACTCCAGGACAGCCAAGGGTACAGAGAGACCCTGTCTTGAATCATCCCCTACCCAAAGAATTAACCTAGCTTAAACCAGACAGTGGTGGCACACACCTGAGTTTGAGGAAAACCAGGGCTATATATAAACAGAGCAACCCTGTCTTGGGAACCCCAACCCTGTCACCAAAAACAAACCCCCCCCAAAAAAAAACACCAATTGAGCTAGCTTAGTAAGGACATTATAAAAATAAATATCCTTTCTGGAACACCAAAGGTAACCTGGCATGACAATATTCGTTTCTATAGTCAATAGTCATTTTATAATACAATTAGGTGACTATTTCAAGATCATTTTCTAGTCTTCCCCCCCCCATTTGTGCTTAATTTGAAATGTACAAGAAAAGCAATCTGCAAACCTCCCCCCCTCAATTACATTGCACCATTTGAGGCCCTGGCTGGCCTGAACTGACTTAATATTACCAGGCTGGACTGGAATTGCCTGCCTCTGCCTCCCAATGTTGGGATTAAATTGTAGGAAGGCACTTAAGTGTTTGCTAATTGTCATTAAGCAACAAACAGCTGTGTTAAAAAAAAAGATTTGATCCTTGTAAGAAACAAGCAATAGCAGCAACGATGCCTACAAATCAACACTAGCAAAGGCATGATAACCCTAAGGATGCAGTAGTGGCACACATATATTGGCAGTAACCACATATCTTGGATGAGAGCCTACAACTACCACTTTACTAACCCACCATAAACCTAAAACACACTATAAACAATATTTGTCCTTATATTGACAGGTAAGTGGAGTCCTCACCCCAATGAAGGAAACTTCTCTTTGCAACAGAGTGTTAAAGAAAACCACAACCAACAAAGTGCAGGGTTGTGGAGCCCAGTCCCAATGGATGCATCTACAAAACAACTCCTGCACCTAAGTAAGGTTAGTGAACATTGCAGAAGACAGGGAGAAAAGGTTATTATTACAACTCAGAGGATCAGGGAGTTTGCTTTGAGACTGTCACCTAGTAGTCAAAAGCTACACCCATAAAGTCTAACCAACATGACTGCCTAAACATGAGCTGAACAAGGACAACACACAGGCTAAAATGGACAAGGAAAGCCCAGGAACTTCAAACCCTACACAAAGAACAACTAACTAAAAAAGCACTTGAGCACTGAGAAACAGTATTGCCCAGGGAAGAGTATACCAATTGATTGTCCAATACCAAATACTCAGTCCCCAAAACATACATTATACAAAACAAACAAACTAAGCAGGTTGTTGTTTACATATTTAGGAATATGTATACACACACATACGCACAAAACAATGCAAAGAGACCACAAAATTAAGGAGATGAGTAAGGGAATGTCTGGAGGAAGGAATGGGGAAAATTATGTAATTATATTATGATATCAAAAAGAAAGAACAATATTAGAAGCCAAGAATTTCTGTCACTCTCTGGCTATCTGTGAGCTGAAACTTCCTAACATGTCGAGTCAAAGAGAATCTAAAGCCATTCATTCATCAGGTAGTACACTTAGGGATTTCAGAGTTACCTAATTTTCACTTATATTAACTAGTAAAATAAGTGACAATTTTGTGTATGAATGCTCTACTGACTTTTTATGCCAGAAGAGGGAATCAGATCCCAAAGCAGATGGTTATGAGCCACCACGTGGGTGCTGGGATTGAACTCAGCATCTCTGAAAGAGCAGCCAGCAGAGTCCTCTCTCCAGCCTATTACAGGATTGTAAATATCCTCATCTAATATCAGTGACCACCTTTCCAGAAAACTCTAAATTCCCAAAGATAACACATGGATCGCATACACAGTCCCTTTCCTCCTTGTCAATTATTGATTACAGAAGAGGTTAAAAGAGAATTTGTTGTTATTTGTTCATATTTCCAAACACCATCCCAGAACACAATCTAGATGTTTCTCTAACATTGAAAATTTTAATAAACTATGAATTTCAATTCTTAGGTTCATTCCTTTGTCTACCATACAAACACAAGTAGACTGGCAAAAGACAAGAACATTTATGTTAGATTCCTCATTTATACCTGGAAGGTACCAGGAAGGCTGTAATGGGGGTCATACCCAAGGCCTTATATATTAATCATGAGCTCCACCACTGAGTAAAAAACTTAGCCTATGCCTGGCATGGTGGTGAACATCTTTAATTCTAGCACTCAGAAGGCAGAAGCAGCCAGTGCTACAAAGAGATACCTGTCTTGAAAAAAAAACTCTTAGCCTCTTATAATTCATACTAGAGTAGAAAAACCATTGCTACAAGTAGTGTATTTCCATTTTCCCTGTTACAAACAGGGTCTTATAACTGTAGCACAGAATAGCCTTGAACTTTTAAAAGCCTCGGCATTCAAAGAGCTGGCATTACAGGTAAGCCACAATGTCTTAGCAGTCTTGGTAAGGCAACTGACTTTTGACTAATTAAGTCAACACAAAATCCAGAGGCTGTTCATTTGGTAGGCCATGATTCCAATTAGTCTCAGTAAAGTAAATGTCATGATTTTTGATTAGTATTAAAGATTTTAAATAACCATTCTTACCTTGCTTCTGCAAATTCCATATAGATTCCATTTCTGTAAGAAAGAGAAAAAAATTATTTTTTTTTTTTTACACATCAAACTTCAACAAATGCTTCTATCTCTTAAACAGCCTTTAGTCCCAGCACTCAGAGACAGAGGCAGGCAGACTGTGAGTTCGATGTCAGCCTTCCCTTTGTCTACAGAGCTAGTTCCAGGACAGGCTCTCGAAAAACTAAAACAAGAGTAACAACAAACAAACCAAATAAAAAATGTGGTGCTTTTACCACTTATGTCTGAAGAAATGGAGACTTATTCCTGTGGGATAATTAAAGTTAGGATTGACTTACAGCACAAGGCACTGAAGTTTTCAAATAACTTTTAAGCATCATCTAGATTATGTATATACTGATTATGAAAAACTAATTTTTGGGCTGTCTGGATGGTTTCCTGCCCAGCCTAATGACTCAAATTCAATCCCTGAGACCTATGTGGCAGGTTGTTCTTTGACCACCACACACTGGTGAATCACACATGTAAATACATGTATATACAAAGACCCTCACACACTAAACAATAAAAGCCATTATTATATGAAACTAACAATATTCTGTGCTTACAAATAGCAAAGATACACAAAATTCTGCATATATTAAATATTTTTTCTCACCTCACTGCTATCCTACTCCTCCTCAATGGAGTATACAGGTCTCTTGAACAGAATGTTCAATTTTATAAACTTGATTAGTTTAAGCATCTAGGAAAGTGGTTCTGACCCCTAAACCATACCCAAGTCCATAAGCCAAAATGCCAATTCACATTCCATTTGTTAATAAATCATTATTCCTCCAATTTCTTTCAAACTTGTGTTTACTTTGTTCGTCATCTTACACAGGCATGTACATGTCTAAACTACAGGGATAGAGAAGGCAGTGCTTCACAATCAACATGTATCTAAATGAAGACCATACATAGCTTATAATACAAAACCCTAAGAATCAGTCCCTGAAAACAAACATGTAACCAAACTATTCAGAAAAAGGAATGAACTATCACAAATGATAATACCTTTCTCATGCCCATAAAAAAAAATTTTACACCACTGAACTGGATCTTAAAACTGGTTTCATTATGTATTAAGCGTAGTATTTGCATAGGACTAAGTAGGGTAGGGTAAAAATCATTCCCCTGAACTAGATGAAACTGATCTAAAATTGTAAGTTTATTGCAAATAAATATACAGAGACTGAGAATTATATACTACACTCACCCTACAGGATCAAATATACAATGAAAGTTGTTTTTGGGAGGGATGCAGGATAGGGTCTCATAAATGTGTGGATCACCACAACCAGCTATTAACAACATATTTAAATGTTAGATTATACTTGTTTGAATTTAGTTGTATGTTTATGGTCTTCAAGTCCCTGATTTTGAAGATCTGGAAGTGGGGAAACTACATATCCAGCCATGGTTTAAGCCAAAGGTTAACAATTTGTGTAGCTTTGGAGCCTGTCCTAAATCTCAGCAAACCAAGCTGGCCCCTGTGGCTTAAGATTTATTTTCTTTTTAATTCTATATATGTCTGGAGAGTGTGCTTGGTAACCTTCATTCTTTCAGGAGTAGCTAGACACTCCCCTCCCCCCCTTTCTCAATCATTTCTCTAGGGAGTTGTGGGTTTTTCTTTTTAGTGGCATGTCTATTTTATTTAGAAGACAAAATCTGTCTTATCTGTGTGTTGCTGTTAGATGGAGGGCATCCCTATCCATTCTCAGATGTTTTGAGACATGTTGGCATGGACTCCAACTACTATCACATAAATGACTCTGAACCTACCTCCACCTGCTAAGTACTGAGATTACAGTAATCGTGGCACTAATCATATCCTATAAATATAATGAATGCTAATATTTCCTTAGAAAAATCTGGCCATTCATGTCCCTATTTAGGCACTTTCCCACTGTTCTTTTTTTGTTTTGTCTTTTTCCTATCCTAGGGATTAAACCTAGGTCTTTTGTATTTGTTAAGCAAGCTATATCCCCAACCCTCCTTTTACTTTTGTTTGCAGACACAATCCAACTAAATTACCTAGGTAGGTTAGTAATCCACTCATTGCCTCAGACTCAAAGCTAGAACTCCAGGCTCTACTTTTTTGAGGCAGTCTTACCATACAGCTTGGGCTTGGCTTGCCTCTAATTGGTCATTCTATTTCCATCTCCAGAATGCTGAGATTATAGCACTTTCAAACCCATCTCATTGCATGTTATTTAATGAACATTCTAAAATACCAGCACTTTGAATGTTTGACATGCTTCAGTATCAATAAGATCAACTCAGTTTTACATCAGCTTTCAACCAAATAGGCAACTCTCAATTTATCTCCTTTTAGAGGGAATATAATCAGGAAAGGCTTTGAAAATAAACCCATTATTATTACTTCACTAACCTAAAGCATTCAGTCTGAGTACTTCAAAGACAATAGTTACCAGTACTGGATATGTACATTAAGAGTTCTCTAGGGGCCTGAGAGATGTCTCAGTGGTTAAGAGCACTGGCTGCTCTTCAGAGGACCTGAATTAATTACCAGCACCCACAAAGCAGCGCACAGCTATCTGTAACCTCAGTTTCAGAGGACCTGATACCATCACAAGAACATACATACAGGCAAAACAGTAATGCTCATGAAAAGGAATAGAGAAAGAAAAAAAACTATTTTAAAAGAGTTAATACTCGGGAGAGGTGGGCATGAGGGAGAAAGAAGATTGAGTGAGGGAAATACAGGAGAGCAAGAAGAGATAACAATAGAGGGAGCGATTATAGGTTTTAAGAGTGGCACTAGGGAAATGTCCAGAGATCTACAAGGATGACCCCAACTAACAATCTAAGCAAAAGTGGGGAGGCTACTTAAATGCCCTTCCCCGATGAGACTACCTTATATGCCATCCTAGAGTAGAGCCTTTCATCCAGTAGCTGATGAAAGCAGAAGCAGACACCCACAGCTAAACACTGAGCTGAACTCCTGGAATTCAGTTGTAGACAGGAAGGAGTGATGAGCAAAGGTGTCAAGACCAGGATGGAGAAACCCACAAAATCTGTGGACATGAACAAGGGGGGAAGATCATGGACTCCAGTCTGATAGCTGGGAAATCAGCATAGGACCAACCCACCTGAATGTGGGTGTTAGTTGGAAGGAGTGGGCAGTCTATGGAAGCCTCTGCTAGTGGATCAGTATCCCTACTATACAAATGGACTTTGGGAATCCATTCCACATAGAGAAGATACTCTCTCGGCCTAGACACATGGGGGTGGGATTGGGCCCTGCTCCAAATGATGACATTACTTTGAAGGCCTTACCCTCCTTGGGGAGCAGAAAGGGGATGGGACAGGGGTTAGTGGGGGGTACAGTGGAGGACGGGAGGGTGCGGGAACTGGGTTTGACATGTAAAAAAGGCTTGTTTCAAAATTTAAAAAAAATATATATATACACATATATATATTTAATATACTCTAAATTGGCTATGGTGGTACACACCTTTAATCTCAAACTGGAAGCACAGATAGAGAGAAAAGGATTGATTTGATTCTACCATATGCTAAAACAGTGACTCCTTAGATTTAATGCTTAGGAAACATGAGCTGGGCAGGAATCATGTCACATGCAGTCAAGTAGAATTATGCTAGGCTAGCGTACACTGTTAGAGTTCCTCAAAAACACAACTCCAGAAGAGGTATTGAATTTTTGATTTTTTTGTTTGTTTGTTTGTTTTTTAAGACAGGTTTCTCTGTGGCTTTGGAGGCAGTCCTGGAGTTAGCTCTTGTAGACCAAGCTGGTCTCAAACTCACAGCTATCCACCTGGAAGAGGCATTAGCTCAACTATATCATGACAAAGAAAAAAAAAGGACCTTATACTTCCCTTGAAATAGTTGACACTGAGTTGTGATGATAGGAAATGGAAGGCCTTACCCATCCATGCAAGCACTCTACCACCACTGAGTTCTATATCCAACCAAGCCTTATTTTTCTGTATTTTTTCAAATAGGATTTTGTATATCTCAAGGCAGCCTTAAACTCTCATTAAACTCCTGATCTTGCCTCCCCTCCCAAGTGCTGGGATTATAGGCAAACAACAACCAAACGTGGTTTTCCTTTTTTTTTTCCCCAAACAGGGCTTTTTTTCTATGTAGCCTTGGCTGTCCTGGATCTCTCTGGAGCAGACTGCCTCTGGAGTGTCAGGTTAGGATCAAAGGTGTGCACAACCACTGCCCAGCCCAATTTTTTTTTTTTTTGAGAATGGGTCTCTCTATATAGCCCTAGCTGTCCAGGAACTTACTATGGAAAAGCAGGCTGGGAGAGTGCTAAGATTAAAGGAGTAATTCACCACAATGGGTTAACCTTTTCTTTTTCCTTTTTGGTTTTTCAAGACAGGGTTCCTCTGTATTGTTCTCGAACTAGATCTGTAGACCAGGCTGGCCTCAAAGTCAGAGATCCTTCTGCCTCTGCCTCCCGGAATGCTGGCACTAAAGGCGTACAGCACCAACACCCGGCTAATGATCATCTCTTAAGCAATGTTCATGGGACAATACTTATGAAGAGCTGACTTTATTCCAATCAATCCCTTATGCTTTAATGTGCTGTCATTTTATATCTTTTTGTTTTCCCAGAGGGATTCTCTGAGCAATAGCTCTGGCTGTCCTGAAATTCTGCACACCAGGTTGGCCTTGAACCATTACCTTCAACTGCAATGAACATAACACTAGTAGGGCTGAGAGATGGCTCAGCTCTTAAAGGCTAGGCTCACAACCAAAAATATAAAATAACACTAATACTTCTGAGGTTGCAAGTAATTAATTAATGTTAAACCTAAAATATGTACCAGTCCTATTAAAATGATATAATAAGCACACCCTCCCTACCTAATACTAAATTCAATTGATGAATGATCTATTTTTGAAGCTAGAGAAATGAACAGAACTTCTAATTCTAAGCCTAACTTAAATTTAGAAAATTACCACAACACTGAAACAGTAGAACACTAACACTGCATATATAAAATACAGGTACTCTTGATTGTCTAGTTAAATTCAAATGATTCTCCTTTTAAGATTAAAATAAATGAATAAAATAAAACTGGAGTGATGGCTCAGTGTTAACACCTGCTGCTTTTCCAAAGAGCTGAAGCTTGGTTATCAACACTCACACAGGACAGCTCACAACTGCCCACCACTCCATAATTTCATAATTTCAAGTTACTGATTCAAAGAGAAAAATCTGCAGGACAGTAAACCACAACTTGCCCTTCTGGAACCCAAATGAACTATTATCTGCTCAATTCTCTTCTGTTTAGGGGAAAACAATTTTATTAATGCTCAACTGCAAAATTCAAGATGATGCATTTTACTAAAACTTCAATGTAGCTGCAACCATGTAGAATGGCATTCAGTTTACCTAAATCAATTCTACATTTAAAAAAAGTGATGGTGGTAGAAGCCTTTAATCAATTTATCACTCAGCATTAGGCAGGAAGAAAGTGGCAGAACTCTTGAATTTGAGATCCAGGACAGCCAAGGCTATACAAAGAAACCCTGTCTCAAAAAAATTCAAAACAAAAGTCACAACTACAAAGTGGTAGCATATGCCTTAAATCCCAGCTCAGGAACCTGGCCAATATAGTGAAACCTTGTCACAAAAATAATTATGGGTTCGGAACTCCAGCACCACCAGCATAACAAACAAAAACAGTAAAGAAAAAATTACAGGTGTAATATGAAATCCCTGGCCCTAAGAAATAAACGCCACACACAAAAATTAGCAACTAGTCATCTCATTACTTTTTGGAGGTTGCAGGAAAACAATGTAGTTTTTTTTTTTTCCCCTTTTTTAAAGGATTGATTTATTATCTGTATCTACCTGCATGCTAGAAAGGGCACCATCTCATTATAGATGTTTGTTGAGCCACCATGTGGTTGCTGGGAATTGAACTCCGGACCTCTGGAAGAGCAGTCAGTGCTCTTAGCTTCAGAGCCATCTCTCCAACCCAGGAGAACAGTGTCTTCTTAGGCTCACATAATTATCACAAGCTACAAGACACTGATTTTCTATAAAAGACCCTGGAGAGCAGATGACACAGAAAATGACACCAAAACTACCCAACTATCCTGGCAGAATTTAACATATATAATTACAAATGGTAAGAGACTTAATAAGCATTTTTCTTTTGCTCTACTTTCAGCTTCCAAACTTTTATTTCCAAAGAGATCTATCTGGAGAGCAATTCAACATCATCTTAGGGAAAAAAAAAAAAAAAAAAAAACCCTGCAAAATGCTAGGCAGGGTAGAGCACGCCTTTAAAAGCTCTAAAAAAAATAAAACAACAACAACAAAAAACTAGTCAATCCCACCCTCCCACACCCCATTTCCTTAGTGTTTTGAGACAGGGTCTAAAATTCTGTTCTAAAATTCTGAAATTGACCTGCTGAGATTAAAGGTGTACAACCACATCCGGCTTCCTTCTGCTCTTTTCCAAAGGGAAATAAGTATTTTAAAAGTACATGTTTATAAAAGTACATGCCTTTCATTTTGCAGATCAAAAAAGGCAAACTAGTAAGAGAAATCAAATCTCACCAAGACCCTACAGCTGGATGAAGAGCTCTAGAAAATTGATAGATACTGAGAGGGAAAATCAAGTCTTTTAGGATGAGTGACCTAATCCCATGCAGACAAACATTTAAATCAACATGGATGGATGAACAAACATAAAATTAATTTTAAAACAAACGAGCAGGAGACATATATACAGCTCAGTTGCTGCTCTTCCAAAAGTTCTATTACCCTCACCTAAGTGGTAGCCCACAACCATCTGTAACTCCAGATACAGAGGATCTAACACCCTATGCTCTAGGCACTGATATGTTGCATGGACACACTAGCAGGTTAAACATTTGAATAAATAACTTCATCTTAAAAAAGTCATACACAGCTTTGTAATTTTTCTCTAAGGCAATGGTTTCTGAGAATGTGGTGATTCCTTCACCCCTACAAACTGATAAGCTGCCCTCAATTATTACAATTCCTACCTAACCAGTATTTAATAAAAATTAGCCTTCACCTTTAATCCTAGCACTTACAAGGCAGAGGTAGGCAGTTATGCGAGTTCAAGACCAGCCTAGTCTATGCATCTAGTTCTAGGATAGCCAGGGATACACAGAACAAAATTTTGTTCTTTTTTTAGGATGTCAAAATTGATCAAGCTGTTTGGTTTATGCAAAGTACTTACAACTACAGTGGATGGTCGAATGTAGTAGTTGAGGAATGTAGTAGTTTGAGGAGTGCCATGGATTTATAAATGAATAAATAAAAATTGGGTGGTACTAGAAGTTGAACCCAGGCTTTAACTGATGAGCCACCTCTTGAGCCCACAATTAGTATTTCTTATTCACCTTGACAAACCTAGACACACCTGGTATGAGAAATTCTAATTGAGGAAATGTCTCCATTAAACTGGCCCATGGGCACATCTGTAGGGCATTTTATTAACTACCAATTAATGTAGGAGGGCCCTGTACACCATGAGTGGTACAATCCTTAGGCAGTTGGTACTGGGGTATACAAAAAAAGGTCACTAAGCAAGTCACAGGGAGCAAGCTAGTAAGCAGCATTTGGCTGTGGTCTGTTTCAGTTCCTGCCTCTAGGTTCCTGTCTTGAACTTCTGCCCTGGCTTCTCTTAATTATGGAGACCAAATAAATAGCCCCCTCCTTTTTTTCTTTCCTGCCCAAGTTGATTTTGACACAGAAACCAAACATCAGAAAAGCAGTCTACTATCAAGTTACATCTGCAGCCTATAGACTTCTATTTCAAGACTATTCCACCTCTTTTGTGAAGACGGGTTAGGGAGTTATGAATGGCAGTTCAGAGACTTATGCCAAAAGTAAAAGATAGAAGGAAGCATATTCCATGGGTGTCAATGGCACAGGCTTTTAATCCGAGCACTCAGGAGCTTGAGTTCAAGGCCAGAGTTATTTTCAAGGAAAGCCAAGGCCAAACAGAAACACTGTCTCAAAAACCAAAAAATTAGTTATGCTATTCAGGAAAAATGCAATTTTAAAAAATTTTGCAGGTAGAAAGACCTGTCATGGCACAAGTGTGGAGGTCAATGAACAACTTGCAGGAGTCAGTTCTTTCCATCACTTGGGATTTAGGTCATAAGGCTTAGAAACAGATGCTTTGCTCACTCAGTCACCTCCTGGGCCCCAAAGAGTTTTTTGCTTTGTTTTACTTTCCTGTATTTTAAGACAGCAGTTTCTCTATACAGTTCTGGCTGTCTTGGAATTTGCTCTGTAGACCAGACTGACCTCAAACTCAGAGATTTGCCTGCCTCTATCTCAGTGCTGGGATTAAAGGTGAGAAGCAGGACACATTTGGTGACACAGACCTACAATCCCAACACCTGAGACACAGAGAGGCACAGGACTTTTAAGGCCCTTGTCTATCACTTAAAAAACAAAACTCATTATCCTTTGAGAAAATATTGAGCAAGGTATGGTAGCATGTACTTATAATCCCAGCAGAAGGATCAAAAATTCAAGGCCAGCCTCACTATGAAACCCTGTTTCAAAAAGCTAAAAATAAAGAAGGCTATCCCTTAAGCAAATGTCCTCTCTACATAAAACCAAATAATGCCAGGCAGTGGTGGCACAAGCCTCTAATTCCAGCACTTGGGAAGCAGAGGCAGGCAAATCTCTGAGTTCTAGGACAGCTAGGGCTGTTACAGAAACCCTGGGGGGGGGGGGGGGGAGAGAGACTCAGAAACTGGGGGGGGGGGCTCTTTATGTAGGTGATCAATTATACCTTTCTTGATCATTTCATGTTGGGAAAGCACATTCCTCTAAACTATACTGTTTCCAAAGATCTTGAATCAAAAAATTCATACTAGTTATTCAATCACAGTATCACAGAATCTCAAATATACTATTATATGTATACTTTTACGTACACATCAGCCCATCAAAATCTTTGAAAAATGAACAAATGAATTACCTTTAGTGTGATATACAATAGCAGCCCTCAGGTCAAAAGAACCCCAGCTATCATTTCTTTCTAGGCCTCTCTGGTATCTCTGTTCTTTGGCGGAGCCTAACAAAGTGTTCGTAGGAGAAGCCAGAGGATTTTGATTTTCTATTTCGTAGTCCTTTGAGAGAAACACTAAAGCACCTTGACTACTGGCGTCTGCTTTTTGCAGGTCACCTATATGACTGGGTTCCAAGGGTAAGGCTCCACTCTCAGTAGTCCCAGGTTTTAGAATGTTACCCAGAACTTGAGGACTAGTCCGTTTTTCCAACTCATAAGCCTTGGGAAACACAGGATGCTCAGTTCCTGAGGGAATTATTTCAGCACCCTGTGAAACCAAAGTGGCAGGATATTCTCCTTGAAATGTCACTTCCATAACTTTATGATCTGATGACTTTCCAATAACAGTCTCTGGGCCAGCACTGGGCTCATTTATAAATGACAAACCCCATTGATTCTGGAAGATATCCCCCAGGTTTTGCTGATCTGTCTGCGAGGGCAGATCTACTTGTGCAGTGCTTAACAGCACCGTTTGCATATTTGAAGGGTAGATAAAAAGGCTAGACTTAATTTGTTCAACAGCTGCTGAAGTCAGACTCATGTCCTGAAGAACTGAATCAGTCCCAGTAGAGATGGGTGTTAAAGTATTAGCAGCAGTAGTTAGCAGTGACTGACCCCCTGATGGATACACATTTCCATCAGTTCCTGCTAAAACAGGCCCATTAGAAAAGTTGGCAGAAGTAACCGATTTCAGAGCTGACATGGGGACCTGGGATAATCGACTTGAAGATTGGGTCTGAGTTTCCCCAGTAGATAGTGAAGATGACGACGATGAAGATGGTGACACAGACGAGTTCTGTACAGTTTTGTTGAGGTTTTCCTTAACTTTGCTTGCATAACTTATTTTAGGAACTATTTTAGCACTGCTATTGTCCACTGGAAAAACTGGGGGTGGTTTAAACAAGGTCCACGAGTCCTCTTTGGAGGCAGCAGCTGAGGCATGCTTTCCTTTAGGTCGATCATCAAATTTTTTGCTGCTCAAACCTGGTTTAATATCTGAGCTTTTACGAAGTGTGTCACCCACCACAGGTTTCCCACGACTTGTTCCTCCAGGTCCAGTCTCATACTTCCAAATAGGCTTTGAACCATCTGCTCGAGTTCCTTTTTGTTCACTATAGTCAGGCTTTAAACTTTCAAGTCCCTGTTTTAATGCCGGGACACTAGTCTCTTGCATTATTTTGTCCTGTACTAAATTAAGGTTTTCACAACCCTTGGCACTATTGCGCCTAGCTTTCCTTTTTTTAGGAGTGGTATATCCACTCTCAGATCCGCTACCATCATTATCTGCTCCTTTGCCCATATAACCATTAGTAATATAGCCTGAATTATTTGTTATAACGCCATTTGGAATTGCTACAATATCGGTCTTATCTATAGCCTGGTTCTCTCCAGATTTGTTTTCATAAGACTTCCCATTCTTTTTGTCCATACTGTTTTTCTGAATAAAATTCTTGGTTTTAATTCCTGCTTTTCCAAAGGTGCTGGTCTTTACAGTCTGCTTCAGGCTAGTGTCTACAACTTGCTGGTTGCCATTGAGGACCCTAGAAATAGGGTTAGTAGCTTCATCAGAACCGAGGCTCTTTAAGGATATTTCTCCGGCATTACCATTTATTTCACCATAGCCTAGAGAAGGAAAACAAAAACAAAACAAAAATACATTTAAACCACAGTAATACTGAAGACTAGAAACTGTTTATGAAATACCAGATACTACACTGTAGGGTTTGTTACCTCACACCACTATGAAAAGATTTCGCCTTTTCACAGATTTATAACAGAGTTCATTGGTAGGCAGAGGAAGAATTAGTACACAATTCACATCAGGTCCATCTACTGGGCCACTAGTCAGAAGTAACTAGAAAGAACAAGACCTCTCAAGCAGCATGCCATAATACTCCTCTAGATTATCTATAAACCTACACATTATTGACATGAGGCTATTATAAAAGTTTTCTTACAATTAAATGCAATACAATCCTGGCAAGTGCGACATCTGCCTGTTAATTCCAGCACACTGAAAACTAAGGCAAGATGACTGCCATGTTTGAAGCCATCTTGAGCTATAGAGTGGAACAATTAGGACCAGTATTACCCTCTGAGCAAAATCCCACTCAGTAAAAGAAATAATTAAGGCTATGGCCTTTGCCTAGCATGTATGACCACTGAATACAAAACCCTAACCCCACCACCACCAAAAAGGGGGTAAATTAAAACCGTAAGTGACTAGTTGCAAATGCATCTAACACACAAAGCTATAATGCCCAGGGACTTTTATTTCAGGTCATACCATAACACATTAATCAAAAAAATATGAACCAATGTTTCTAGTCCTTAAGATTTGTTTTCTTATGTATTTGGGTTAAAAGACTTATAGAGACCCAGCATTGGTGGTGCACACCTTTAGGCCCAGCACTTGGGAGGCAGAGGCAGGCAGATCTTTGTTGAGTTCAAAGCCAGACTAGTCTACAGAAGGAATTCCAAGACAGACTCCAAAGCAATACACAGAAACCCTGTCTTTGGGGGGGGGGGGTGGGTATGGGGAGGATCTAGAGAGATAAAGTAATAGAACTAGAAATCTAAACTCTGACCTGTCTAGATAGAACCCACAGCTTTCTTTCTACCGCCATGCAACACTTGCTACTCACAATGAAAGGAATCTAATTTTTTAAAGCTGTCAAGTATCTGAATGTAAAACTTCCCTGTTGACAGTTAAGTTTAATGATTACAAGTGATCTACTGGGTCACAACTCCTACTTGCTAGTAAAATAATGATTAGCCAGTAATTGTTTTATGACCTCTAAAGTCCTTTGGGAAACCCTCAATTCTAAAAGTAATATTAGTAAGTACTAATATTTGGTTTTTTGATAAAGGGTTTCTTTCTCTGTAGCCCTCTATCCTGGAACTCACTCTATAGACTAGGCTGGCCTTGAACCAAAAAAATCTACCTGCCTCTGGCCGCCCAGTACTGGGATTAAAGAAATGTGCCACTACCTTCCTGTAGAAGTTCCTGACTGACACGTATGAAATTCAAAGCTCAACCCTTAGTTGTTAGGGAAAAAAATTAATTTCCAGTGCTAAAGCTCTATTTTTTTTTTTTTTTTAAAGATCTATGATAGAAAGTCAGAACCCCTGTGTTGCTAAAGGCTGAGTATTCCTAGCTGGTACTCTATCACTAAATTCTATCTGTTCCCAAATAAAAGCTTTCATGGAGATGTGGTGGCTATACCTTCAATCCTAGCACTCAGAAGACAGAACCAGAGGAATCTGAGTTTGAAGCCAGCCTATTCTACATAAATGAATTCCAGGTCAGTCAGAACTGCATTTTTTTCTCTCATAAAGTCTAACTATGAAAAGACAAGACTACTATGTGGTTTTCTTTTTTCCTTAAACTTTTCTAATACAAAACAAAGAGAGCTGCTATGTGGCACACCTTTAGTGGCAGGAGAATCTGAGTTCTAGGCCAGAGCTGCACTGAGAAACCCTGTCTCAAAAAGCAAAACAAAAAGCAGAAAGTTGAGCCACACTGGTTCATCCCTGCAATCCTGTATCAAACAAAACAAAATTGGGGGTAGGAGAGACCCAGATCATCTCATTAAATATGCTCTTGTGAAACTCTGGACCAAAGACAAACACAAAAACTACCTCACCATTTAATAGCTCAATAGATTAAGCAGTATCTGTATCTTCTGGCTTATTACTCATAACTTTTTTTGTATTTAAACTAAAGGTGAGCAAAGCTACACGCAAAATTCAAAGTTGATTTTCAAATCAAGTTGAATCAAAGCAGTCTGGAAAGTAATCCAGAATAATTCTATGTAAGAGTACTACTACTAGTGGCTCAGATATCAGAACTCACTCTTGGAAAACACAGCTCAGGTAGGAAACAGTGGCCCACACTAATTCTAGCTATACGCAAGCCCACACTCAAGTAAATAAACTCTGATGAGACACCAGAATTACAACTTAAAGGGCTGAGTCTGTGGCTGAATGTTAAACAGCTCCTGCCTAGCACACCCAGGGGCCTAAGGCTCAATCTCTATTTACAAAACAGGCCACTATACTTGTCTTAATGACAAAAATCTGTTTGCATTTAACTACATAATACTTTACCCCCTATGTCCTTGGTATGCAGAGAAAGCATGAAAGGTATTTTTAAAGCTTAAATATTAAGAAAAACATTTAGACTGTGTTACACAGAAATTAAAAATTGGTAGCATTTATTTAGGACTGTCATGATAGCTCCACTTCAAATGATCTCAGTCAAAACTTGAGTACTGACAAATCTAGCTTCGGATTTGCCACTGCAATCACTCAACACATTTGATCTTCTCTAGGCCCTCTTCTGGATTCAACAAACTAGTTTTTCCAAGATTTGGGAGTAATAGGCAGTGAAAACCCACATGACCAAGTATATTCTACTTTTCTTAGCACTGTACACAATGAGGTAACAGTATTGTGTGACCAAACCACATATAAAAAACCAACCACCCCCAAACTGTTAGGACTCTCTCAAAATTTCCTAAACACATTTCCCTCCTTCATCCCAACTTTTTTTGAGGGGTGCCACTTCCAATGGTTCAGGGTCTGCATCTCTATGTAGTGATGAGTCCTGTTGGGAATACATAAACCTCATGAAATACCATTATTTGACAACAGTTAATACTTCCCAACCTTCTGAAAACCAAAAAAATGAAGTGTTATGTAATTCCTAAGTTTCTAGGCTGATCTAGATCCTCACAATTAAACCCTGAACTTCTACTGCACATTACAAATGAAAATCTGATATCCAGCATCTGTCTTCAAAGTTACACTGTCTACAATAAGTTTTTCACCAGTAACTTCATGTATTAAACGACAGGCTGAGTTTAACATTTTTCTTCCAAGTATTCCCTTCATTACTCTTCAGTTTATAAACACTTTTCATCTGCAAAAGCATAAATTTTGATGTGTACTTAAGTATTTCCTCAAGACTCTTACGTTTAACATGTTAAATAAAAATTCAGTCTGGATAACGACATCAGTTTTAAAATGCAGCAAATGTCTTCTCTCACTTTAATATGACCGAAAACTCTTGTCCAAGGTAAGGTGGTATTGGCACCACCTCAGAGAAGGCACTTCCCGATAATAGGGGACCCAAACTGTCTGTTGTCCATCCAAATAGAGCATTTGAGTAATCCCTGCAGCCACTACCCATGCCCAGAAGTTTAGGTGGAAAACAAGGTTTAAGAGGTTGTTTTCCCTTCTCTTGGTAGGAAAGGCGCTGCTAGAAAGAAAAAGGCCTAAGTGAAAAGCCTCTGAGGCGGAGTCGTGAGCGAACCTGGCAGGAGATGAGATTCCTGTGGCAGAGAAACTCGTGACCCGGGAGCTTGATTCCCGCTGGGTACCCCACCCGGCCTCAGGCACCGCCTCTACCGAAAATGAATCCCCCCCTCGCCCCTCGCAGGCCAGCGGAACGCCGCGGCCGCCGCCCGGGCCTCCTTCCCCTTCAAGCGCCTCTTCGGGGCCGGCTCCCCGCCCGGCCGCCCGCGCCTCCCGCCGCACCCGGGAGCGGGAAAGGCGGCGGTCGGCGCGCGGGTCCACGGTGCAGGCCGCTCCCCTCGTGGCCGCTTCCCTCCCCCACCCCAACCGCCCCCGCCCCTCACCCCAGGGACCCGCCCGGGGCCGCGCGGCCGCCACCGGGTTACACAACCCGGCGCGGGGCGGGGGGAGGGGCGGCGGGCGCCGGCCGCCCGCAGTGCGGGGGACCCGGCGATGGCGGCCGAGGGTCCCGGGCCATCGGTCCCGGCGTGCTGTGTGGCCTTCGGCACCCTTCCCCCTCCGCTCCTCAGCCGGCCCAAGTCGGTGACAGGAATCGGCTTCCAACATGGCGGACAGGAAGCGGCCCCGCGAGGAGGAGAGAACATTCCAGCCTCGCCGGCTCCGAGGAGAGCGGGCCAGGGGCGCCGGCCTCGGGAGAAGCCTCGCGGGCAGACGGCAGGGTCCGGCGCCCGCAAGAGGCGCTTAGGGGTGGAAATGACCCGAGGGGAGAAAGGGTCCCAACCGTCCCCCCCCAGACAGCAAACGCCAGGGCCACAGGTGGGCTTGGGTGGCGGGTGAGGGAGGACGCTTCCTCAACTCAGCCCTCAGCCCGGCTCCTCGCCGCCTGCAAGACGGTGTCGAGACACCACCCGCGCCGGGACTCACTAGGCCCGCCGGAATTACATACAGCTCGAGGGGGGATTTTTTTTTTTAGGGCGGCCGAGTTTCATCCCTTCTTAGGGGCCCCCACGTTCAGGCAAGTCCAGGGCCGAAGAGGGAAAAAAAATAAATAGACAAGGCTGGACTTCCAAGGCCGACCGTCCAGGTCTGCCTCCAGCCGGGGCGGGGGCCGGGGAAGGTCACGCTGGCCTGCTTGGGCCTCTCCCAGGCTGAAGGGAAGGAGAGGGCGCTGCAATCCCCACCTCGCGGCCCGCGCCCGGGAAGAATGAAAGGGGGCATCCCAGGCCCCGCGGGACGCACACCCCGACCGGGTTCGCGCTTTTCACATCTAGCCCCACCCCCATCCCCTCGTCGCCCCCCCCAACACCAGTCCCCTTCCCCCACCGCCCTCCCTCCCAGACCTGTTTTCTTCTTCGGCGTTTCCTGGTGCTGCTGGAGGGTGTGTTTCTGCTCATGTTTCAGCGGCTTGGGCTGGGCCTTGGGGCTGCCCTCGGCTCCATGCTGCAGGTATTGGTGAGGCTGCTGGTGATGGTGGTGGTGGTGGTGGTTGTGGCTGTGGTTGTAGAAATAATAATGGTGATGGTGGTGCGACTGCTGCTGTTGCTGCTGCTGCTGGGGGTGATGGTGCGGATGGTGGTGGCTGTGATGGTGCTGAGGCTGTGGCTGGCCGGGCTTCTCCTCCATTGAAAGCGGCTAGGACTCCCTGGCTGAGGCTGCGGGCTGCTGCACCGTCAGGATCTGAGACTGCTTCTCAGCGCTCGCTCAGTATATCTGAGCGCGTCTCGCCAGCGCACTGGTTAAGCGAGCGGATCTGCAAGATTGGCAGCAGCGCTCCAGCAATCGGGAGCCACGCTGCGCGTCAAGCCCCGCCCCTAGTCCAAATCCTCTTCCCTTCCCCTTCGCCACCGCCGCCTAGCCAACGCCACTTACCCTATGCAACCTCACAGGGCCGGGCCTTCAACGTCAGCATTATGGCTCTCTCTTCTATCGCTTTCTCTCCTTCACCACGCAGTTAGCGAACAGCACTTTCTACACTCCTCACAAGCAAGCAAGCTGATTTCGAGCGTAGCAGATTCCACGGACGATTATTGGCGCTAGGAGCCATCTGTTGGTTTTGCACCTCCTAGAATCTGTTGGGGTGTGGGTTTTTTGTTGTTTTTTTTTTTTTTTAAATCCTTTTCCGGGTAGCCAGAGCAGAGGGGGAAACTCAATTTCCTTAACCCTTAGGCCACGAAAGGGGCAATAAAAAAGAGGAAATAAATTCAATTTTAAGAATACAAAACCTTCAGAACTCGATAGATCGTTTTGTATTCTGGATTCATTTTGCTTTGTATTCATATGCTAATCTTTTCCTTTCCACAGAGGGATTATAGGGTTCCACAATGGGGTATCTGTGTAATTTTCTAAAAGGGCACAAAGGGCTTAAATCATTGTTTCTTTGTAGTTAAAGGCCAGAGAGAGGAGGGATGGATGAAAAATCTATACTGAAGGTTTTTGTTTTGTTTTGTTTTAATTAAACACTACAGGTGAGGTCAACTACGGAACCAAAATAGGTTTTAGCATAAGAATTTCAAGAGTGAAGGAAAGGAGATAGGACACTTCTAAAAGTTCTTACGATTTTGTTTTTTACGTTTTTTTTGTTTTGCGTTTACAGAAAACACATTGCAATTTAAAGATGTATTTGCATTTTATGCTGTTAATTCAACTCATCTTGTCATAGTAGAAAGAGGGTTGTGATGACAGACACAAAGTACCCTCAAAATATATTTTTTTTTGTGGATTTTCGCAGGAGGGGTTATTTATTTGTTTTTGATTTATTGATTTGTCTTTGAAACAGTCTGACTGTGTAACCCTGATGATTGACTTGGAACCCCAACTAGGAGATCCCCCTACCTCTGTCTCCTGAGTATTGGAATTAAATTCCTATACCACTACACCCAGCCAATGTGCTATTTCTTAAAACTACATTACATGTACACTTGCTTTGTAATTTGTTGAATGAGATATATATTTTTGTATGTAATACAAGGGAAATTTTAAATGTAAAATTTACAGTCTTAACCTATTTTTTTGTTTGTTCTTGTTTTGTTATTTTGACACAGGGTCTTACTATGTATCCCTGACTGGCCTGGTATTATTCACTATGTAGCCCAGGCTGGCTTTACCTTACAAATACTGTCATTTCAGGCATGTACAATCATACCCAGCTACTACTTAACCATTTTGAGTCCATAGTTAAGGGGTACTAGGACATTCCTCCCATTGTTGTGTAACCAAAATCAAGTGTATCTCTAGAACCTATTCATCTTGCAAAACTAAAACTCCATGCCTATTAAATGATAAATCTCTTAATGCTGGAGAGATGGCTTGGCTGTTATGAGCCTACTCTAGTATTGCAAAGGACCAGAGTTCAATGCTGAGCATTCTCATGGCTGCTCAAAATCATCCATTACTCTAGTTCCTGAAGGTTCAACACCTCTTCTGACCTCCAAAAGCACTAGGTACACACATGGCACACATACATATATTCAAGAAAAATACTCATACATATAAAATAGATCTCTTCTGTTTTTGAGACAGGGTCTCTGTGTAACCGCCCTGGCTATCCAGGAACTCCGTCTTTAGACCACATAGGCCTTGAACTCACAGGGATCTACCTGAACCTGCCTCTGGAGAATGCTGGGCTTACATGTGTTTGCCACTAACTACTAGCAGAAATATTTTCAAGATGGGGTTTCTCTATTTTGCTTTGAAGCCTGCAAAATATATCCTTTTTTAAAAAGAAAAAAGAGATAAATGGCCAGGCAGTAGTGGCACATGCCTTTAATCCCAGCATCCTGGAGGCAGAGGTAGACAGATCTCTGTGAGTTCAAGACCAGCCTTGACTACAAGAACTAGTTCTAGGACAAGGCACCAAAGCTACACAGAGAAACCCTGTCTCGAAAAACAAAGAGTAAATGAAATCCCCTTGCTTTCCTGCCTTCCTTCAAACCCTGTTTTAAGTTAACTGCCCAAAGTACTTCATGTAAATAGATTCATACAGTCTTTATGACTGGAATATTTCAATTGCCATAATATCTTCTTTTTGGTTGGGTTTTTTTTAAACTGGTTTATTTACTTTTGTTTTATATACATTGGTGTTCTGCTTGCATGTATGTCTATGTGAGGATGTCAGATTCCCAGAAATTGGAATTAGAGTTGTGAGCTGCCACTTGGGTCCTGGCAATTGAAGCCAGGTTCTTTGGAAGAGCAGCCAATGCTCTCAACCTCTAAGCCATCTATCTCTCCAACCCCTTAATGTTTTGTTTTATTTTCAATTAGGTGTATATTGTGTACATGAGGTTTTTGCTTGCATGTATGTATGTGCACCGTGTGTATGCCTGGTATCTGCTGAGGTCAGAAGAGGTTGTCAGATCCCCTAGATCTGTAGTTAAGAATGGTTGTGAATCTCCATGTGGATGCTGGGATCTAAACCTGTGTCTTCTGCAAGAGCAAAAAGTACTCTTACCCTCTGAGTCATCTCTCCAGCCCTACTGCCTTGTTTCAATAATGTATTTTTGTTTGATTAGTATTTGTTGTTGTTTTTATTTTACTTTTTTGAGACAATGTTTCATATAACCTCCAACCTCCACCCACCACCTTTTTCTACCCACTTTTTTTTTTTTTTGAGTCACTGTTTCTCCTTGAAACGGTGTTCTGGGACTAGCTCTGTAGACTAAGCTGGCCTTGAACTCACAGAGATAAATCCCTCCTACCTCTCCCTCCCAGGGCTAAAGGCATGTACTACCACTGCCCAGACTCCACCTCACTTTGTAATCAAGGATGACCTTGAACAATTGATCCTTCTGCCTCCTAAATTTTGGTATTTCAAGAGTGTGTTACTGTGCCTTCCCTTACCATATCTTTAAGATGTATTCATATTACATAGCATGAATAAAAATGCCTTCCTTTTTTATGACTGAATAATATTCCATGGTAAGTGAGTAAATGTGTGCTTTGGAAAGGTATATATAGCATATTTTGTTACCCATTTATTTGATAATAGGTATGTATATTTTATAGTTTTTTATTTAAAAAATGTGATTTGAGAGGTAGAGATGACAGATGTCTATAAGTTTGAAGCCAACCTGGTCTACATATCAAGTTAAGGCTAGCCAGGGCTGCATAGTAATACTCCCCCCGCCCGCATTTTTTTTTTAAAAAGATTAGTTTATTATGTATACAGTGTTTTGCCTTCCAGAAGAGAGCACCAGATCTCCTTATACATGGTTGTGAGCCACCATGTGGTTGCTGGGAATTGAACTCAGGACCTCTGAAGAGCAGCTAGTGTTCTTAACCTCTGAACCATATTAAGAGATTTCCCACCCGGTTCTGCAACCACCTTACCCCAAATGAACACACAGACACTGTATTCATTATGAAACTGTTGGCCAATGACTAGGGCTCCTTATTGACTAGTTCTGTCATAACTATTTACCCATAACTACTAATCTATGTATTTCTACATGGCCTTATCTTACTGGAGTATGCCTCGCTCATCTCCTCCCTTCAGGGATCACATCAAAACTTCTTTCTGCCTATAACTCCCAGAAGTCTCCTCATCTCCTAAACCCACCTGTCTTGCTGCCCAATAAGAGAAACACATGTACAGAAGCCACCCCCATCAGAGCCATTTCTCCAGCCCTCCAAATAATGTCTTTTAATTACATGTATGTGTGTATGTGCAATTGAACATAGTGCCCTCAGAGGGCATAAGAGTTGGGTCCCCCAGAACTAGGGAGCTAGAGTTACTGACAGTTGTGATTTGCCCTACTTGGTACTAGGAACCAAATTCAGATCCTCTGCAGGAGCAGAAAAAGCCCTTAACCACTGAGCCATCCATTTCCCTAGCCCACAATTAATCAATTTTGAGAGCTGGGAACCCAGTAGTAATATCTTAATTAGTCTCTACTATTCCCACGTGCTTAAAATGTAAGTAGGATTCAGCATTATGGAGTGTGTGTTTATGTGTGTGTGTTGATTTAGACATTAAGTTGGAAAGTAGAATTCCCATTCCTGATTCTACCTTCTTTTATTTGTTTGTTTTTTGTTTTGTTTGTTTGTTTGTTTGTTTGTTTCGAGACAGGGTTTCTTTGTGTAGCCTTGGCTGTCCTGGAACTCAATTTGAAGACCAGGCTGGGCTTGAAATCACAGAGCTCCATCTGTCTCTGCCTCCGAAGTGCTAGGATTAAAAGCTTGAGGCACCAGTGCCTAGCAAAATTTAATGGAAGTTTTATAATCAAAACTGAGACGGGATCCTTCCTTATCTGCTTCATTTGTATGTACCTCAATCGGGTCGATTACTTGGCCCCTCTAAACCATTTTCTTACCTGAGAAAATAGTTCTAGTGTTTGTAAATGATAGTTTTAAATATTGATGTTATGAGATGATTAAATGTTATGTTAGATTATGTATCCCCCTCCCTCAAGAAAAAAAAAGGATCTTGCTCTTTTATGCAAGCTGGTCTAGAATAGCTGGGCTCTATTTGGATCTTAACTATGCCCTGCAGGCTCATGTGCTTAAGGCTGTTTCCCAGCATGTGGTGCCATTGACAGACTGCAGACTTTGGGAAGTGGGGACTAGTGAAAGGAAGTTAGGTTATCTTAGTTAGGTTTGCTTTTGTTCTGATGAAACACCATGAACTAAAGCAATTTAGGGAGGAAAGGATTTACATATTCTGAACCAAGTCCATTGATTGAGTGAAGCCAAAGCAGGAAGTCAAACAGGACTAGGCAGGAGA